CCCCAAAACCCCAAAACCCCAAAACCCCAAAACCCCGCATGATCATTTGTGGGTGAATAATATGATATATAATTTGAATTTATTATTGATATCATAGCAAATATTTTTTCTTATAAGTTTGTGTTTTATACTTGATTCATAGTTTTCAGAATTAGCTTTGACCTAGCTCAGATGGTCTCCCATCAACGGAATCTCTATTCAGAGAAGCATGGTTGAAGTCAATGTTTCCATAAATTTATTGTTGTGGTGGAGTAAGCAACTTCTCTTTATCATCATCTATCTTTTCGACTTCAAATTGCACATTCTCAATCTTATCTGAAGTATCACTTAACTGGTTCTGCTTCTTAGCCTTCACACAGAGACATAATAGGAGTAGTCCAATAATCAATAGACAAGCGAAGACAATAAAACCTATAGCTGCAACAGTCCATTTTTTAGCATCGTCCTCCTCCTTCATCTAGAGTTCTTTGTTACTTATATCAAGTGATAATCCGATTCTTTAATTATCATAGTCGTATACAGTATAGTAGTTTTTCAGAAATGTGGCTCCTAAGATATATTTATTAGAGCCCTCTTCAACAGTCCCTGAAACTCCAAGCAGACAGAATGGCTCCTTGAATCCTGGGCTGTTAACATCATATAAGAAATTTTCTGCAGGGACATCGAAAAACAAGGAACGGGCATCATTGGCATCACTGCCTATCTTGAATCTCATCTTCTGTCTTGACAGTTCAGAGCATCTGTGCTTAATGATGCAAAAATCATTAGTCTTACAATCGAACTCATCTTTGCCTAGACCAGCAATATAAAGCTAAGCGAGTTTTTCATAGTCTTTTTAAGGCATGGCAATAACAGGAGAACCAGGATTAAATTCAACTATAGTGTCTGTACTGACTCTAAAGGAATCGTCTCCATATTTGGCATCAATTAGCTTCAAACTCCACATTGAATCAGATGTCGTCTTATACCAATTAATACTTTCTTCTTTACCATCAGCCATTAGAGATGAATCGTATCCACCTAATCTAATTTGACTCTTAAGTTCAGCTTTGTAATTATCTTAAATATACATGCCAAGCATCGCCTTATCAATCACTTTTTATGAAGCCAATCTCTCCACATAGCCATTCTTATTTTTATTAAGTTATATACCAAGCAGCCCTGATTCTTCATCAAAACCTGGATCTACTGAACAGCCAAAAAATTAGCCAGTTGGAAGGCAATGGGCGTCATTAGTATCAATACAAATTTTATCTTCTATATATTTACCCTAGAATACTTGAAGCTTGTGCTTTGGGAAGTAAATATCAAGATCCTCTTCGGCAATCGAATCCTTTTTAGGGTCTACAAAGTGGGATGTGGTCGATTTCATAACATCGAATCTTTGATAATTACATCTATCACAATCAGTTGTCGCAATATAGATATTAGGTGTAGAGGCGTCAATAATCATTGAAATTTCTTGCTTTTAAGAGCCAAAAATCAAAGAGGTCTTTGTAAAGAAACCTTTTATATCTGCAACTGTGTGATCGAATGCCTTATCATCTGTTGACACTGCCTACTAAAGCTTCTTATCAAACTCCCTCTTTTACTTCACATTTTCTTTCAACTCCAAATCAATAAATTGTGTCGAAACTAAACCGACACATGCCAAAGCCATTGATTATAAAAGGATATTTTTCATTCTCATAAATTAATTATAACATTATGACTCAATTGCTAATAACTTGATAGATGGGGTTTTGGGGTTTTGGGGAGATCGGAAGAGCACACGTCTGA